TAAGGTTATTTTTAGGATTAAAAATGTCTTTAAGGTTATTTTTAGGATTAAAAATGTCTTTAAGGTTATTTTTAGGATTAAAAATGTCTTTAAGGTTATTTTTAGGATTAAAAATGTCTTTAAGGTTATTTTTAGGATTAAAAATGTCTTTAAGGTTATTTTTAGGATTAAAAATGTCTTTAAGGTTATTTTTAGGATTAAAAATGTCTTTAAGGTTATTTTTAGGATTAAAAATGTCTTTAAGGTTATTTTTAGGATTAAAAATGTCTTTAAGGTTATTTTTAGGATTAAAAATGTCTTTAAGGTTATTTTTAGGATTAAAAATGTCTTTAAGGTTATTTTTAGGATTAAAAATGTCTTTAAGGTTATTTTTAGGATTAAAAATGTCTTTAAGGTTATTTTTAGGATTAAAAATGTCTTTAAGGTTATTTTTAGGATTAAAAATGTCTTTAAGGTTATTTTTAGGATTAAAAATGTCTTTAAGGTTATTTTTAGGATTAAAAATGTCTTTAAGGTTATTTTTAGGATTAAAAATGTCTTTCCTTTAATAGAACTATGACATGACATGGACAAATGTTAAATTAAACAAGTGGCTTTAAAGTATTGCTACTAGGGGTGTACATGACCGGGTTGGTTCGGGTTTTTCAAATATCAAACCAAACCATTGTGTCGAATTTTTAAATAATAATGAAATCATCATATAAAATAAATATTGCAAAGTCATAATGAAAATGATCATAATTTAAAAGTACTAAATCATGCTAAAATAAGTTTAATAAGTATTAGTTACATTACTAAATATTTAAGATAATAATAATAATAATGAAATCGCGTAAAACAAATATTGCAAATTAACAAGTCATAATGAAAATTATCATAATTTAAAAGTACTAAATCATGCTAAAATTAAGTTTAATAAGTATTAGTTACATTACTAAATATTTATGGAAAATTAAATTAGATTATGTATTTTAATTGTCTAAACCAATGTAAAACTAAAGAACAAATATTCAATATTATTGTCATTCTTAGTGTTGAATTGATTTTCTTTTTGCATTAGTTTGATTTTGATTTAAGTTTTATTATAATTATCAACATCTATGAACTATAATCTTTATTGGACCATTCCGAATTCTAAGTTTTAAACTTGAAATAATATACTAAAAGATAAAAACTATAAAATAGTATAACAAATTTTGTAAAATTATATCAAAGTAAATATTTTTATGTATAAAATAAAATTTTAAAATTACATATATAATGTCGGGTTGGTTTGGTCTCGGTTTGGTTTTTTAGTTAAAACCAAACCAACCCAAATATAGTCGGGTTTTTTTTTCCAATACCAAACCAAGTCAAACCAAATCACTAGTCGGGTTTTTTCGATTTGACTCGATTTACAATTTGATTCGATTTTCGGTTCGATTTTGTACACCCCTAATTGCTACACATGAGTCAACTCATAAAACCCACCCTTTTAATAGAACCTGCTATTTTGAAGACATTGGCTTTAACCAAGAACTTTTGCGCCTTCCGGTTGCTATTGCAACGGGATAACCTTCCAATCGCTATGATACTTTTCAACTTCTATGGTACTGGAGTAGCGCCACATCCAGTTCTAACTTTTTTACTAATAAAAGTTTTTAATTTGATTCTTTTTAATTCAAAACAAGACAAGAGGGTGGAAGCTCAGTACTATATATATATATAGTAATGATGCTTTACATGCTTATGAATCCTTCTAAGAAGATCTGAGTCAAACTTCAAGAATATGGACATGAAGTGTCTTCAAAATTGTCAAGTATATTCATCATTTACGTAGGGTGAGAAATGTGGGTTTTATTTGCCCTGAATTTCTTACCATAAATAGGTTTTCCTTTTAGGAAAAGGTTTTGGATTGGCTAGTCTTTTTCTTGTAGGAAAAGGTTTTTAGGACTTTATAAATATAGGTTTGTTCCTTCTAACTTAATCAGCATTCACAATGTAGTCTCAAGGGCTTTGAGAGTTTTGGTTAGGGGGAAATTTGTGAGTCACAAGCTTGATACGGTATCACTTGTGTGAACCTCCCATGTATTCCGAGTGAATTGGTTGAGGTTATTTCTCTCTATATTTTGTACTCTCATGTTTATATAGTGGATTGTTCATCTCCTTTGTGGACGTAGGTCGATTGACCGAACCACGTTAAATCTTTGTGTCTTTTGGTATATTTCTCGTTTGTCTTCTTACTCGTGGTCTTTCGAAGTTTGCTTTGCTAGCTTCCGCATTACACCTGCTTATTTCGGTCCTAACAAGAAATTCATGCGTACCAATACTTTAAACCCACTTGTTTGATTTAAAAAACTCATTCATGCCATGTCATAATTCTGTTAAAGGAAGAACATGTTTAAGTACTTCTCAAAGAATTTAAAACTATCTTTTTCAAGCTCAAAATTAAAACAATTTGTAGATCAAATTTTACCAAAACATTAAGAAATGCTAATATTACTTTACTTTACTTCACTACTATTAATAAGGAATAACTATACAAAATAGATCTAATTGTGAAACTATTTATCCAAATTGGACCCAATCCAAACTATTTACTCTTAGGGTGTGTTTGGTACGAAGGAAAATGTTTTTCTAGAAAATGTTTTCTTGGAAAACAAGTGGATTTCTAACTCATTTTCTCATGTTTGGTTGGTGAGAAAATATTTTTTAATGTTTGGTTGGTGAATGAAAAACACTATTTTTTAGAAAATATCTATTATTTTTGGCTTGAGACTAAAAAATACTCTTTAGAATAATAATATTTGATCCGAAAATCAACCCCGATAATTGATCTAGGACCCAACCCTGACACTCAAACTAGGACAAGACCCCAATAACCGTTCCAAAATCCGACCCTCAAATTAAACTCAGGACCTGACCCAGGATTTTCTTTTCAAAATCAATTTTTTTTTAAAGAAAATTGGCGGAATCGCGG